CACCGCACAGCTCAGCACCAGAGAGTCCCCCACTGCTACCCTTTTCCCGGGGGGCTGTGCTCACAGGGATACCCCCAAGGGCAGTACCCCTGTAGGAAGTCCATCCAGCTGGTTGGTGGCCATGCATTGATAGGTGCCCGAATGTCCCACATCAACAGGTCCAAGTTCCAGGAGGGGACCCTGGGACACCTCCTGCCCATTGTGCAGCCAGGTGAAGGTGACAGGAGCTGAGCCCACCTGCACTGAGCAGCGCAGGGTCACGGGGTCACCTGCACGCACCTGGTGTGACAGGGGACCGGGATGATGGTGGCATTGGCCACCGGCACTGTGGGGACACACACAGGGCTGGCACCTGCGGAGGTGGGATGAGGGATGCTGTGGTTGGTGTCACCCCCAGCCTGAGGGTCCTGCTCACCCAGGACGGTGACATTCAGGGAGACACTCTCAGGCACGCTGTCTCTGTTACTGACACAACACCGGTACTGATTGCTGTCATTGTCCCCAACGAGACACAGCTTCAGGCTGGGGCCGATGTGCAGCAGTGCCCCCGAGCCTCCCCGGTGCCAGGAGAAGGACAGGGGACCTGTCCCTGTGACCACCACACAAACCGAAGCCACCCTGGGCTGAGGTACATCACGAGGACACTGGACACTCCAAGCACAAGGACACCACAGACACAGCCCATGCTGGCCCAGGTCACCTCCACCAGATCATCATCCCATCCCAATGATCCCATCCCCATGACCCCATCCCCATGACTATCTCCTCACAGTTCTTGTCCCCTTCTGACCCGGCATCCCAGTTCCCTTGTCCCTGTCTCCTGAGCTAGATGAGCCCAAAGTTGCCAGTCCCCACACTCCTATACCACTTCCTCATCCCCAAATTCCTGTCCCCTGTTCCTGTCCCCAAAGCCACCCTGCATCCCCAGTTGCACCAAGGTCCACTGTGGGTAACATGGAGCGGCACTCCTGGCATTGGGGACCTCAGGGGACCCTGCAGCCCCACCTGTGCCCCCTCCCCACCCGTCTCTGCTTTACTAGGCCCCATTCCCCGGGGTGTCAGGCCCATGCCCGGGGCACTCGCCGCACAAGAGCAGTGCCACCTTACCAGCCATCCTGCTGTCCCCAGCCATGTGGACTGGCTGTCACTCACCAGCAGCTGCGGGGACCCCTGCGGGCCCCCCACCACCTGCCCGTCCCGGGAGAACACGTGCAGGAGGGGGGCTCAGGGCCACAGGGGGCTGGGGGTGCTGAGGCAGCTGAGAGTCGGGGAGGAACCCACAGTGGGCTCGGGGGGACCCTCCAGCACTGGCACTGTGAAGAGTTCTGGGAAGGAGAGGGGAGGGAGATTTGTGACCCCAAGCCCCTGGGGAGAGGCTGTGGGGGTGTCAGGGCGGTAGCTGTGCCGTTCTCACAGTGCACTGTCACTGTCACTGGCGCTGAGAGCGCCCACGGTGCCACCTTTGAGTCCACCCAGCCCCCACAGCTATAGTGGCCGCTGTGGTGCAGCTGCACAGGGGACAGGGATGGCTCGGTCCCATTGAGGGACCTCCTCACCTCCTTGTCCCCGTGGTAAAATCCCACCCCAGTGACCGACATGTTCTCCTGGCCCTGGCAGCGCAGTGTCACCATATTCCCCTCCAGCGGCTCCCGCGCCAGCACCTGCAGCACGAGTCAGGTTGCAGGACACAGGACTCTAAGGACAGCAGGGGAATTCCATTTTCTCAAGGACCCCCGAATTGGAACACATCCAGTGCACCAGGGTTTGCCGAATCCAGAAGTGGGATCCCTCCACTCTGAAATGTTGTGTGCAGGGGATGGGCTCTGGTCACACCACGAGTGACCCATGGAACAGAGCCCACCCAGAGCCTCCGGGGTCCTCTCCTGTGCCAGGCTGGAGACAACCAAACCCCCCTCACCATTTAAGACTCTCACAGGGGGACTGTGCCCAGTGCCAGGTCTGTCACACTCATAGGTGCTACTCTCAGTGACAGTGAATAATCCTCCCTCTCCTGCCACCAGCGCTGCCTGTCTTTGTACCATGTGGTAGCACCAGTGGTCCCTGAGCCCTGGCAGGTCAGTGTCACCCGCTCCCACAGCACCGCCGGCCTCCAGGGGGGCTCCATGAGGAGATGGGTGGTCTGGGCACCTGCGGGTGACAGGGGACACCAGCCTGCCAGGGCCAGCATGGGGCTGTGGACAGTGGGGTGGGGACATGGCATCCCCCAAGGACTCACCAGCGAGGCCGAGGGTCTGGGCTGGAAGGGAGAAGGGACAGGGCTCGTGGAGGTGACACTGTGAGGACAGAGACACCCGGGGTACAGGGTGTGAGGGCTGTCCCCAGACTGTTCCCATGGGGACAGCAGTTCTTGTGGAAAAGTGTGTCGGGGTGGTCCCCAAAAGATTTGGAGAGGCTGGGGGATATGTCTGTGTCACAGCCACCCGTGCACAACACCCATGTGGCACAGACACCTTGGGAACAGGGAAACCAAAGCCACCCTGGGCTGAGGTACATCACGAAGACACTGGACACTCCAAGCACAAGGACACCACAGACACAGCCCATGCTGGCCCAGGTCACCTCCACCAGATCATCATCCCATCCCAATGATCCCATCCCCATGACCCCATCCCCATGACTATCTCCTCACAGTTCTTGTCCCCTTCTGACCCGGCATCCCAGTTCCCTTGTCCCTGTCTCCTGAGCTAGATGAGCCCAAAGTTGCCAGTCCCCACATTCCTATACCACTTCCTCATCCCCAAATTCCTGCTCCTGTTCCTGTCCCCAAAGCCACCCTACATCCCCAGTTGCACCAAGGTCCACTGTGGGTAACATGGAGCGGCACTCCTGGCATTGGGGACCTCAGGGGACCCTGCAGCCCCACCTGTGCCCCTTCCCCCACCGTCTCTGCCTTACTAGGCCCCATTCCCAGGGTGTCAGGCCCATGCCCGGGGCACTCGCCGCACAAGAGCAGTGCCACCTTCCCAGCCATGGGAACTGGCTGTCACTCGCTGCTGTGACCACCGTTCCCCTGGCTGGTGGCTCTTTGGATGAAGGGGAAGGAAGTGAGGTCACAACCCATCCCCATGTGCTCCCCACCCGTCTCTGCTTTACTAGGCCCCATTCCCCGGGGTGTCAGGCCCATGCCCGGGGCACTCGCCGCACAAGAGCAGTGCCACCTTACCAGCCATCCTGCTGTCCCCAGCCATGTGGACTGGCTGTCACTCGCTGCTGTGGCCACCGTTCCCCTGGCTGGTGGCTCTTTGGATGAAGGGGAAGGAAGTGAGGTCACAACCCATCCCCATGTGTAGATGGCCCTGGTGGGGGCAAAGTGGTCACAAGCTGGGCACAGGATGGGGACGAGGGTGGGCGGGACAAAGTGGGACATGGGGTTTCCCATGAGTGAGGGCTCAGTGGGTTTGGAGAGCCAGGGATGGGTGTCCAGGGGAATGGAGGTGATGAGGAGGTGGAGTCACTGTGAAATATGTCCCAATAAAGGGCTTTCTTAAGTGCTTGGTTGCTGCCCAGCAGGCAGGGAACAATCCCATGGAGATTCCACTCTCTGTGTTATCCGCAAGCAAAAGCTGCTGTGGGATGCACCAAAGGGCTGCTAAAGGAAACCAAAATGTCTCATTTCATTGTGATTTTGTTTGTGTTTTTATAGGGAGTGACTTGTTGGGAGAGCAACAACTAAAAGAATTCTATAAGCCAGAACATTTTATGCCTCATCAGTTTGATTTTTGATGAGTTTGTTCATTACTGGGAAAAAAATGATGTGGGAAAGATTTTTGCTTTTATTCTATCAATATATAATTTTGTGTGAACCAATCAGTCATCAAGTGTTGCCAGGAAAATGGGGGGAACCTGACCCAGAGGTGTGTGGCGCAGGGACACAGAGCCTGCCAGGACAGCCATCCCAAAATCTGAGGCACCCCATGAAGGGGCTCTGACCCCTCTGCCCGCCCAGCCACTGCCCATTCCTGGCACACCCATTCCCCTGGGAACCATGGGACACCCATAGCCTTGGTCTCTCCTCCCTGGGACCCCCACCCCAGGGCTCTCATTGTCCATGACCACCATTGCCTTGATCCCATCCCATGAGCCGCTTCTTCCACAGAACCCCTGTTCCTGAGGGTCCCCTTTATCTCCCTGCACCCCCAACTATGTCAACCACATGCCATGACCCAAATCCCTGGTGATCATGTTCCCACAGCATCCCCATCTCTGAATCTCCCCAGGCATGAAGACCCCAATTCCCTTGGACCACCATTCTTCTGGACACCCATCCTTGGTTCCCCACATCACACTGATGCCCCACTCCTGGCAACAGCATCCTCCACCATGTCTCCAGACTGTCACAGCTTGTGGCCATCCTGCCCCCACCAAGAGCCACCAATATGTGGGGACAAGACGTGACCTCGCTTCCTTCCCATTTCATCCAAAAAACCCGCCAGCCAGGGGAACGGTGACCACAGCAGTGAGTGACAGCCAGTGCACATGGCTGGGGACAGCGGGATGGCCAGGAAGGTGGCGCTGCTCCTGTGGGGTGAGTGCCCTGGACACAAGCCTGACAGCCCTGGGATGGGGAGGGGGCACAGGGGGGCTGCGGGCAGAAGTGGGCTCAGCCCCTCCGTGAGAGTTTTAGATGGTGAGTTGGGATCTTAAATGATCAGGGTAGCCTCTGACAGGTCTGGGTGGGCTCCACTCCTTGCATGGCCTCACACCCCTCCTGTGCCAAGAGCCTGTGCCCTGCACACAGGGACACCCCAGTGCACCACAGTGCATCCCAGTGCACCCCAGAGTACCCAGATGTCCTCGGGACTGTGGGACACCCACCTCGGACCTGTCTCGAGCCTCTCAGTGAGATGGGACCCTCCTGTCCCACAGACTATCTGGTGCTGCAGGTGCTAGCACAGGCACTGCTGGAGGGGAACATGCTGACACTGCACTGCTGGGGCTGGCGGAACAGCACAGTCACTGAGGTGTGATTTTACCACAACATGAAGCATCTGGGGGTGTCCCTCAAGGGGACCAAGCTGTCCCCGTCCCCCCTACAGCTGAACCACAGCGGCCGCTACCACTGCAAGGGCTGGCCATCACGGAGAGGACCAGTAACAGTGACAGTGCAAGGTAAGCACCCCATGGCTGCAACTCCAATCTCCTGACACCCCGAAAGCCACTTCCCAGCAGACTCAGAGTCACAGTCCTCACTTCCCCTCTCCTTCCCAGAGCTCTTCCCAGTGCCAGTGCTGGAGGGTCCAATCCCCAAGACCTCCCATTCCCTCCCACACCCCCTTTATTCCCTCAGCGGCCCCCCAGATCCCCCAGTGCCCCCAGAGGAGGGGGAGGGGCTGTACATCCATGTCGTGGTCACCAAGGGAACAGGGGGTGAGTACAGGTGGGACACACACAGAGGGACACGTCACCCACCAGTGTCACCCCACCCAGATCCCACAGCCCGTGTCTCTTGCAGTGTCCCCCCATGCCACCACACTCCAGGATCCCCAGGTCACCTACGCAGAGCTGCGGGGACACCAGGGGCCACCAGGGGAACCCGGTGACATCTACAGGAATGTGCTGTGACACTGGGGGCACTGGGGGGGACTGGGGGTCCTCAAACATGGGCACACACACGTCTGTGTGCTGTCACTAAAAACTGCCTGTCCCCCTCACTGTGGAGGCACAAACATCCCAAAGAGCTGAGAGAACAATTTCCTGAAACAGCAATGAGAGAGAATAAAACCAACAGCAACAGCAACAAGCTTCAGAGTCCAAATGGTCACAAAAAGAACAATTACCAGGGGAAGCAACAACAAGGAACAAATCCCAGACATTTCCCCCAGCACGTTTCCTCTGCCAAGGGAACCTGGCAGAGCCCAGGACCATCACTGCGCTGACAGCCAAAGTGGCCTTCAGGAGGCTCTGGATTCCCTTGTCCCCTGTCCCAAACCCCTCCTCGGCCGCGTTCCCCACACCAGGATGGCACCAAAGCCCTGTGGGGGTGCCACAGCCTCCCCCTTTTCCAGGGCAGTCGGGATCTGGCCATGGCACAGCGTGGGGTGTCAGAGACAGGAAAGGTTTGATGTCTGGAGACATTTTGGAACACCTGTGTGTGGCAGGGCTGGGTCAGGCCTTGCTTTTGGTGAGACAGGGCCCCGTCTGTCCATCAGTGTGTCAGCCATGGCACTCTGGGGACAGTGTGACACTCTGCCAAAGCCAGCTCCTGAGTGGCTGGGTGACCAGAAGGGCCAGCTGGGGAGACAGCCCTTGGTGCCCCTACTGTCTGAAAAGACAGAGCATGAGGTGGCCAAGTCCCTGACCCTGTCTCCTCTTGGAGTGTCTGTCCCATCCACGATGGAACCCAGGAGTTGGCAACTCATTTAAATGAGAAATATCTTCCAAGGAAGTTTTTTGGAATGAAAAGAAGACACATTGCTAAAACTTCTTCTAATTTCAAGAATGATGGGGCTTCCAGGGCAAAGTGTAGGAAAAGGAATAATAGCTGTTTACGAGGAAATTTATAAACCAGAACAGAACAAACAACACAAAACCAGAACTTTCCCTCCTGCTCAGTGCTGTTGGTTTGTGCGCAGGGAGCGCTCCCGGCCAGCAGGGGGCGCTGCAGGGAGCGCTCCCGGCCAGCAGGGGGCGCCCCGGTCGAGCTCGATCCCCTCAGGGGCCATGGCGGCCTCGGGCGGGAGCCAGGAGGGGAAATCGCTCCTTTTGCAAACTCACGGCCACCAATCGGTCCTGGCACCACTGGCAGTGGGTAGAAGCCGACGAGGCAGCAGGTTGGATCCCAGTGCCCAGTGGCAGCGTAGCAGTGTCCTGGGCCTGGCACATGCTCTGTGCAACACCTGCGACCGCTCTCCATGATCCCGAATGGAAGGAAGGCAGCACCTGACCCCAGGCAGGTCTCGGGGCCACAACAGCACCTCTGGTGGCTTTATGCCACAATCCCTGCAAACCCTCAGCCTTTCATTCAGGTGAAGAGGACAGAGATGCAGCAGCTGTGGGGACACCTGGAATCCACACAGGGTCACTCAACACAGCTCCAACACGGCCACCGGGCGAGTCACTGCTCAGTGTTTCCACACTTTTTCCTCTTGTCTGACAGCCAAACACACATATTCTTCCCGAGCCCTTCCAAAAGGCTGCAGGTTTGAGACAGGAAGGAGGAGGGACCCAGGCAGGTTGTTGAGCAGATTGTTGTTTTCTTTGCAAGGTTTTTGGGACTCTCTCAGAACCTTGCTGCAAGGGACAAATGATCAATTGCTGCATTTCTGGACTGGTTCCCTCACAGCTGCCCCCGCAGGGGCGGTTTCCAGCCAGCCCTGCTCTGAAAACCACCAAAGGGCCTTGCAGAGCCACTGCTTGGGCTCCCTTTGGGGTTTGTGCTTCTTGCAGAGCTGAGCAAACCACAGGCAGGCATTTTTCTACCACAGAATTCTCACTTCTGCAGCAGCTTCACAGACCCAGAGCCCCTCAGAATATGTGTGGGATGACCCCCAGGCCACCAGCAGTTTGTGGGGACTGTGCTGGGCCCTGGTTCACCCCAAAATCTGCTACGCTCAGGGAACAAGTGGAGACCTACAGTCCCAACCAGCCACTGCCGATCCCTGGCACCCCCATTTCCCTGGAAATCACACCATGGGAACCCCATTCCTTATGTCCCACCTTGCCTGGGACCCCCATCCCAGCACTGACATTCCCCAGGATCACCATGGCCCAGCACCCCACTCCCAAGGAACCTTCTCCTGTTCATACCATCCTCTTAAATCTCCCTTTGCCCAGGACCTGGATTCTCCCAGGACTCCCATGCCCACTGGACCCCCCATACCCCCTCCACTCCATCCTTGGCACTCCCATGCCATGACCCAAAATCCCTGGAGCCAACGTTCCCCTGGCAGTCCCACCCCTGAATCCCCCCAGCCCTGGGGTCCCCCATTCCCATTTCACTCCCACCCCTGGTGACTCCCCCTCCTCAGGACCCCCATATCCAGGGACTCATCCTTCGGACTCCCCATTCCCCTGGCACTCCCATCCCTGCCTCCCCAAACCCACTGAGCCCCCCACTCCTGGGAACCCCAAATCTCCCCTTGTCCCACCCAGCCTCATCCCCATCCGGTCCCCAGCCTGTGGCCACCCTGCCCCCACCAAGGGCCACCGCCACATGAAGGTGACACCTGACCTCGCTTCCTTCCCCTTTGGCCAAAGACCCGCCAGCGAGGGTACAGCCACCCTCGACAGCGAGTGACAGCCAGTGCACATGGCTGGGGACACTGGGATGGCCGGGAAGGTGGCGCTGCTCCTGTGGGGTGAGTGCCCCGGGCACGGGCCTGACAGCCCAGGCATGGGGAGGAAGGGAGCACAGGGGGGCTGCGGGGTGACCTGAGGTCCCCAAGGCCAGCAGGGCATGGAGCCCAGTGTGAGCAGAGTTGTGGGGTGGATTTGGGGACAGGAAGTGGGGACAGGGAGGGGAACTGGGATGTGGGGACAGGAACAGGAGGATGGAGATGTGGGGACAAGGATGTGAGAGAAGGAGCCTTGGGGCTGGGGCAGCTGTGGGGACAGGGACACAGGGATGCAGCACAGGGGCAAGGGGACAAGCACCCTGTGCTTGGGCCATGGGGACAAGTGCCAGAAGAGTGGGACCAGGGGCACAGGGCCATGGGGATGTGGCTGTGGGGCTGGCAGGGGTGACCTGAGGCAGCACAGGGTCCCCATGCCTGAGCATGGCTTGGGTGCTGTGTCCCTGTCCTCGAGATATCTCTGCCACACCCATGTCCCCACAGAGACCTTTTGGGGACATCCCCCACACCCCATGTCCCCGTGCTGTTGTCCCTGCAGTGCCACCCCCACTGAGCCCTGTCCCTTCTCCCTTCCAGC